CTTTATTATTTTCTTTTTCATTTTTAATTTGTTAATTTAATTGGCTTAATTTGTTTTAGCATTGCAAAAAAAAAAGTTATTTTTAGTGTAACAAATTTAGAAGTTTTAATCTTGATGATGATACGCCTGGGCCAGCAGGGATTCAGGATAGATTGGAACTAGTGGAAGAATAGAGAATAATGTGACTTATGCAATATTAGGAGAGTTCAGGGCAAATGAAGCCTGGATGTTCCGTGTCTTATGAACTTAACGAATGGACATGTTAAGGTTTAACTGAGCTTTAAACAAAATTGATAATGGCTCTACAAATATAAGATGTGAAGACAAATGAAGTATTTTCATGATGCCCTATGATATGGAACTCGCTTTTGATTCGTCATTGGTTTGTTCAGAAAGTTGTGAATGATCAGTGGTTTAATCCAGAGTCAAGTCCTTTGTTACAGTGCAAAAAGTTTTGTGAAGATCTAAATATGGGTATTTGTAGCTCCATCTTGCATGGTTTCTAGGGTTTGAATGAGATTTATCTCTATTTCTTTATGATTTTCAATTAAAGAGACGGAGAATAAGAGGGAGGAAGACTAACCATAACATTGATTCAAATATTTTATTCATCTATTGTTTGGACTTTGGACCTATAAAGAAAGACCAAGTTTTATTTGTAAACCCTACCACCATCAACACCACCCACAACCACACGTTAGAGTAAGAGATGCTACATTGATGTATTCTACATTTCTATTGAAGATACCAGTTAAACCTGATTTTTAGAAGTTAGGAGAAATATTATTTATTTAGTCCTTTGAAGCATAAATTCTATGTAATAATAAGTTAGCAGGTTTTCAAGTTTGAGGCCAACAAGATAACTTTGCTTTCCACATGTCTGAAGCTTATAAGAAGGTAGAAGCATATATGAGGCACCTTTGACCTCTAGGTATACTAATTTGGTTGTCAATTTACTGAGAATCTGTTAATACTGTTATTCATTTGGTTTGTAAATGCTTTCATTACTTTATTGCAATCTTAGAGAATTTCTGGTCTTAGAATAGATGCCATTAAGTTTAGTAAATCAATTTGCATCATTTTTTCCTAGACATTTCTTCTGTTGTATGGAAACACTGTCCCTTTCCTTCCCTTGTGCTTTTGTATGTGAATACCTTTCCCTATCCAGGCTGTTTTTCTTACCAGTCAAGTCGTAACCCTGTTTTTCTGGAAATTTGCTAAAGTTCTCTCATTCTGATAAATTGATGTGGAAAATATATAATTAGCCTTTTCGACTTGTATTGTTTCCATTGGTTTTGCAACTATTCTTTTATGTTCATCTTATATGGAGAAAATTCATGTGACTTCCTTTTGCTTTATTGTGCCTCCCTTTTGTGTTTTTTATGATATGGTCTTTACGATATCATGGCTGAATTTTGGTTCAAAAGGCTTTTTTTTTTCTTTTTTTCTCGCTCATTTTGATTAGAATAGTTAGGATATATAGTCTGCCGTTCCATTTTCACTTTATTTCTGCTTGTAATATATTTTTTTTCTTTTTTTTTATCTGCTTAGTGATTGGTATAATTTAGAAAAGTCTAAGCGTGTGAAGGCATTTCGATGTGGGGAGTTTGATGATTGCATTGAAAGGGCAGAATCCTCACAAGGTATGCCACCAAAGAAAAGAGAGAAATACGCTCGGCGGGAAGATGCTATCCTTCATGCACTTGAACTTGAGAAAGAATTGTTGAGAAAGCAAGCAAAATTGGATAGACCTTCTGATGGAAGAAGTAAATCATCTGGTTCTGCTAAAAGGGATTCTGGAGGTTCAGATATTAGTAATGGAAAACCTGGGAATTCAAAATCAAATCAATCCAAGAGTCAAGATACTTCCATCAAGGTTGAGACTGTGAGCAGCCCTGTACACTTGCAAAAAGACCAGGTCGCAAATCAGCCCAGTCGGGAGAATGATCATGCTGAAATCATACCCCGGATGAGAGGATTGCAGAACTTGGGGCTCAAGACTGCATTTGCAAAACAAAAGTTTACATCTTTTGGTGCTTTGGATGCTGGTGATACTCTATATCCTTCCAGCAGGGTTTCTCACATGGGAAGAACCACTCACATTAATGGTAAATCTTCATTAGATGAAAGGAAAAGGTTACATGAGGGATTTACTAAGCAGTTTTTGGTCAAGAGATGTGACAGGAGGCACCCTTTTGTTCAAGTTTGCAGGGTAGTGCAAAATTACAGGTCCCTCATTTTTTGCAACCTAACTTTGGTGCTGTTTCTACTTCTATTTCAGGAGAGCGGATGAGTGGTGTTTTCCGAGCAAAGAGGTGCAGAGGCATGTACTTGCCTGCTGAGTCATTTGATGTTTTGGATTATAAAGGAATCCCTCCTAACCAGATTGAGATGTCACCTTCCCGTTACCTAGAATGTGATTCTTATTCTTTTCCTAGTCACCTGATTGAAGGCAATACTGGTGAGTTCTTGGAAGGAGGTGAATCTGGTTCTTCTGAATCAACTTCATCTGAATCTGAGTCAGAGTCTGATTCTTCTGAGACTGATCCAGACATGGATGAAGATATCACTTCACAGTCAGGTTAATATTTGTTAGTCTGAACTCTAGTTCGTGCATTATTTTGGAAGATTATCATGTATCATGGATAAATGTTCTCTTCTACGTTTGGGATTGTGCATACCCTGCAGACATGCAAGCTGGCTTTTTCTGTTACTTGTTCATCTTGAAAATTCACTCATGGTGTATATTGTATAGATTGTAATTTAAATTATAAGGGATTGCTTAGTAAAGTGATCAAATTTCATAGTTGAAACCTCTTGTGAGACTCAATGAATAGCAGAGATCTAGAATGGAATCTGAAACTTGGTTTATTGGCTATTTGTGAAATTAAAATTTCTCTTTTTTTGCTTCTTAAATACCCCATGGGAGTGGCAGAGCCAAGTTATATTAAGTTTGGAGGCCAATATAAAAATTTGCCTGAAAATAATATAAATCACAGAATTTTAATATAAGGTTAACAATTTTGGGGGGCCAATATATATATATATATATATATTCTTTGAACTGGAGGGCGGGGGGGTGGTTCTAGCTACCCTACTATTTTGGTTACCTGACGAATTTGATGTTTATTTGGAATGCATCATGGTATGTCTAACTATTGGTGCTAATCGATTGATTATTCTTTCTTATTACTTTATTATTCCCTCTATTCAGGTGCTACTATTGTATGGATGCTCAATTGGGTGCCTTTCAAAGGCTGATGCACTAGGAGGGGAAGCATGGGCCAGGGGGAGTCAGATGAGTCATCTCTTCTGGTGAGATGTCTCACTTTATTCTCATGATCATCATTCTGTGAATGAAGCAGTGTCCAAATGGCAGTTGAAAGGGAAAAGGAACATACGGAACCTGGCAAAAAGATCCATGGATGCATCAGAGAATGAGAGGTTATAATGGATATGCTCATGGATTATATCATGAAGTGGGAACATTCAGAAGAAGGTTGTTAGGTCAGAGTTCTCGTAGAAATCATGATTTTAACGATGATGTTGACATGGCTGTTTTGAAATGCAAAAGATTTCAGGACACAAAGGGTTGGTTTTGACGATAGAGGATATTTGTATACAGCAGGAATTCATCCAGAAGTAGAAATAGTTTCAATCGTAACATCATTGATTGGCAAGGCATGTCTTGGGAGAACCCTGCTGCTGTGAAAAGAGAGTGGGAGGACAAAGCATGGCACTTTGATCCAATTTTTGCTGCCTCACGTCATTTTGGTGGGAAGAGAAGATCTACGTTGATAGATGTGGATTTGAAAGTCCAAGCAAGCTATCAGAAAGAACCTGTACCTATTGTTTCATTGATGAGCAAGTTGGATGGGAAGGCAATTATAGGGCATCCCATTCAAATTGAAGCCCTGGAAAATGGTTCAACTGAGACCCTTCTCCCGACTAATGGTTATTTCAGTAATGGACTAATAATTACCATGATGGAAATACTTCACTTCCGCCGGCATGGAGGACCGCCAAGAGGACCAATTTTAGGGTCCCACGTCCTCACCCACCATTTGCATTGGGTAGTTATGAAGCTGCTGAATATCATTCCTTGGATCATGAAGAAAAACCACCTTTCCAGCAATACAATGTAGGAAGCTCCGACTTTAAGGCAGGGCTGGTTAAAAAAGGGCATCTCTCACGTTCCGTGCTCTCCTACTGATAGGAAGTTCCAAAGAAAGTTACCAAAGAAAGTAAGCTTATTTTCTAGCCATAAAACAAGAACTTTGTCATCAATTGGTATAGAACATAATCTTAGTTCTAAGCCTATACATGATAATGGTAACTGTGGAATGGATGGATTAATCAAACCAGAGTCATCTGGACCCACACAGTGGCTTGCATACCTGTCAAACTAGTATTCAGTAGGTTACTTGAAAAGATCAACAGGCCACCATCAAAACCAGCTAGTAAAGTGATTCTCTCCAGTATTGGTTCTGTAAGAGATCCAACATAGATTACATTGTATATTGATACAACGAAACATTAAATACAATCAGCAAAATAAGCATTGCTAATTTCCTCTTTTTGACAAAAAAGCATTCGCAGCAACACTACATTGTCAGCATTGTCAAGGTGAGTCCCGCTTCTTTCTAATTATCAGCATAGAAATTAAGATATATATTATGAACATATTCATTTGTAGTGATTTTAGGCTTTCACCTTTACTGTACATCTGTATCTGAGGAATCAATGGAAGAAAATTTATGTCAGGTAGGGAACAGGCAATGAGAAATTATGCCAGAAGTTGGCAGTTTGGAAGTTGCATAAATATGTATATCTGCTTTCCTCAGGCCAACCTATTCCATTAATACCACAGTAAGTTCTAGATTTTGTACTCGTTTGAGAAGTCTGGAAATGGATGTCTGGTTTTACCAATGCAAGTAGATTTTGACTGTAAAAATGGATATTTTATGGGCATTACCTATTACAGGACAGAAAAATGGTAGCAGTTGGAATTTTTTATTTACCTCGTTCTTTTCCTTTTAGTTACCATTGTTTTCGAGATGCCTTTACTAGTTGTATTGCTACATACTTCAACCATGTGGGATTAGGTTTCTCACAATGTGCCTTTTGTGTCTATCAGTAACAAGTGTATGACAGATAATTTGGCAATGCTATTCATTAAGCGGATATGACCCAGAAGTTCTGATAATTGTTTTATTCCTCCCTTGGTGGCAGATCTCGAGTTCAATAGCCAATGTAACAAAAAATTTTCACGAAAAGCTTGGGCTGTTTCTTCTCAAGTTTATACCTAATTAACTAAACGACTTTATATTGGGGAATCTTCAATGAAAATTGCTTACAAGCAATGCACGCGGTCAAAACAAAGTCTGATATACAATGTACAAAGGCCTCTTAACCACCCAGAACACCCCCTCCCAAAAAAAGAAAAAAATCCTTTCACAATGTAATAAAGCTGGATACTGGATCCATATCCATACCTTCTTACGGCATTTCGAAGAGGTGGGTTCCCACAATAATGCAACAACGAAACTGATTTCAAGACTAACAAGAGCCAAAATGCCCACTACACCTGTAGAAAATCAGTGAAATGTTTGGAAGGGAAATTTTCTGATCACGGGAACTGCCGCCTGTTATAAGTGTCTTCATGCACAAAAACAGGATCTTGAGAGAACTGGGGTGGGAACTGAGGTTGTCCCATGGCTATGCCACCTTGATTAGGAAGAGGTGCATCGCCCCAAGGACGAGTTGTGTTCTTTGCCAAGTTTAAGGTAAGATAATAGAGGATTCCAAGAACGACACTTGCAAAGGCTAAGACAGCTCCCCCAGCAAAGACTCCAGGTTTAACAACATAGCAGTAGTAGTTGCCAAAGTACACACTCTCTTCACCATGTTGATCATTTAGTGCAGAACCAGTTAGCAAGAGAAGGAAAGATATAATAAATGTGAACCTGCATGAATATGGAAAAGTGCGTACACTGTCAACCAATATGAATATGTAAACATTAAGAAATGTTGAAATCAAAGTTTATTTCAAGAAACAAGTTCTGTTTCTCCTGGATGAATAGGCATTCAAGTAATTACTCAGAAAGAGAAAGTCGGCACACTGTAAGCAACAATCAACCTATAAACAAAATAAAAGCAATCTCTACATCACAATTGAGCGTAAAACAAAGAATCCCACAAGAAAAACCAGAAATGTAAGCTTATAGAGTATTTTCAACTCTTTGACGATTAAGCCTAAGCTGGACTACTCACACGTTATGATCAAGCAAAACGCCTCTGCTCGATTTAAAGTTCACATAAATATTCAGGCCTTTTTTTTTCAATCATTAGCCGTAGATCTGAGCTCAAGAGGCCAATTTAAGCAACAACAGGTAAAAGCTCTTTCCCCTCAAGTTACTCACTAACCAATCTCTTATTAAAATATGCTGAATCTTTTACTACAAAGTCTTCTTGATATACCGTAACTGTCCTCTCAAAAGCACATGAACCATCTAAAAAGAAATTGCGGTATGTGGGAAAACACTTATTTATAGCTGGTTGTAATATTGTAATATGTATATTTATATTTGTATATTTAGAATTAAATATTTATATCCTTAAAATTAAGAACAAAAAATTATGATAAACAATCTCTCAGTTATAGGATTAATTTTTAAAAAGATTTAGTTTCCTGGCTTACTCACTAGTTGTATATAAACCTAAGGTGCTTGTATAATTCTTTATGAGCAATTTTTCAATATACATTCAATTTTACTCTTAGTTTTTCACACAATTTTATTTATTAGTTTTTTCACATGGTATTAGAGCTTTAAGCTCTTATTGGGAAGCAAAATTATCAGCCTTCATCGCTGACTTCTATTTTAGGCCTTCATTGCTGAACCCTGTTAAGGCCTTCATAACCATTTTATTTTTCCCTTCTTTATCCTTCATTACTAAAAGTCATTTTTGGTTATTTCTTAAGACTTGTTTCAGTTCAAAGAAAGATGTCACTATCACCCAATTTGAAGAAGTGTCAATTAGGAAAATCAAAAGAGTACTACAAATGTCTCAGAAACAAGGAGAGTTGGATAGAGAAGAGATTGATAAGTTGAGAAGCCTATTGAAAACCCTTGAAAAGGCTAATGGGGTATGTTTCTTGGTTAAAGTCTCTAGTTCAGGTAAAGCTTCTAATTCTCATGGACTAAATATCTTGGTTAAACCTATTACAAGTTCTTGGGTTATTGACTCAAGAGCCATAGACCATATAACACATTCCTCACAGAAGCTTAGTACATATATCTTGTGCCCTAGTAATAAGAAAATTGTTGTTGCAGATGATTCACTTACTACAATGGCAGGATTAGAAGATATTCAAATTAATCCCTCGTTTGTTCTTAAAAATGTTCTTCATGTTCTTAGATTGTCTACTAATCTGATATCTATACAAAAACTTACCAGAGACATGAACTGCAAAGTGACTTTTTATCCCTCTTATTGTGAATTTCAGGATCAAAGTTTGGAGAAAAGTATTGGACTTGCTAAGGAAAAGGATGGACTATACTATTTTGAGACATCAAACAACACAAGTAATATCAAGAATCATTTACCTTTGTCATTTTTTTTTCTAAAAAATCTCTCAATAAAGACAAAATCTGACTCTATCATTTTCGTATTGGACATCCTTCTTTTGGAACTTTGAAAAAACATATTTGCTTCTTTGTTCAAAGCATTAAATGCCGAAAACTTTCATTGTGATGCTTGTGAACTTGCAAAGCATAGACGTGTGTCTTTTCCAGTTAGTAGTAAAAGAAGTTCTACTTCTTTTTACTTGATTCATAGTGACATATGGGGTTCTTCTACAATTCCTAATATTTCGGGTGCAAGGTGGTTTGTTTTTTTTCATAAATGATTGTACTAGGGTCTCTTGAATATTGTTACTTAAATCCAAATCAGATGTGAATGATGTGTTTTTAAGCTTCCAAAACATGATCCATAATCAATTTGGAGTGAAAATCAAAAGATTTAAGTCTGATAATGCAAAAGACTATTTCAATTAGAGTTTATTTACCAATTTCCAAAAGGAGGGGATTATTCATGAGTCATCTTGTGTTAATACTCCACAACAGAATGAAGTGGTAAAGAGGAAAAATAGTCATTTACTAGCCACAACCGGAGCTTTACTTTTTCAAGCAAATGTACCCAAATCCTACTAGGGGAAACTGTTCTCACTGCCACACATATTATAAATGGGTTAGCTTCATGGGTTTTGGGATTAAAAACTCTTATGGAACTACTTTTACAATTTTATCCCAACTTTAATGCCACAAACAACCTCACACCTAGGATATTTGGTTGTACATCATTTGTTCATGTTCATAGTCACAATAGGGGAAAGTTGGATCCCAGAGCAATTAAGTGCATTTTTGTGGGATATTCATCAACTTAGAAAGGATATAAATGTTATCATCCTCCAACCAAAAAATTCTATGTGTTTGCAGATGTCACTTTTAAAGAAAGTAAACCATTTTTTACTCAACTTTATCTTCGGGGTGAGACTTCATTCATGGAAGATAAGGATAAAGACTTCTTTTTGCTTGATTTCTCCTTTTCTTTAACATTTTCACTCATTAATTCTTCTGAGTTGAAACTTTTTTCTTCTGACCCAAGTCAAACACTGAATTTGAGTCTAAACTCATTCCAAACACAGAAGATGTAACAAACGATAATATTGTTCTTGATGCTATGAAGGAATTACAAGTGTACTCAAGAAGGAAAGTTTCAAATCCTGAACCAGTGCCAGTCAAAGAACCTGATCCTAACTATGAAAATGTGGTAACTACAGTCTTTGACTCTGTTTCTCAAAATGAGCATGAATCTCCTAAAAGTATAAGTAATGATTATGATCTACCTATTGCCATTGAGAATGGAACCAGAGAATGGAACCAGAGAATGTACTAAGCATCCACTATACCCAATCTCTAATTTTATGTCATTTGAAAAATTATCACCATCTCACAAAAATTTTCTTCTGAGCTTAAAGACTATTTTTGTTCCAACTACATTATTTGAGACATTATCCAATTAGAAATGGAGGCAAGCCATGAAAATAAAAATGGAGGTCTTAGAAAAAAATAAGACAAAGGAACTGGTAGAGTTGCCTAAAGGAAAAAATCTAGTTGGGTGTAAATGGGTTTTCACTGTAAAATACAAAACGAATGGTACTATTGAAAGGTATAAAGCCGGGTTAGTGGCTAAGGTCTACACTCAAACTTATGGAGTGGATTATCAGAAAACTTTTGCTCCAGTTGCCAAGATGAATACAGTTAGGATTTTATTGTCATTGGCTGCAAATTACAATTGACAGCTTCAACAATTTGATGTAAAGAATGCTTTTCTACATGGTGATTTGAAGAATAAATATATATGAAGGTTCCAATGGGATTTGGAGGTCATTTAGAAGCAAACAAAGTATGCAAGTTGAAAAAGGCTTTATATGGCCTTAAAAAATCTTCTAGGGCTTGGTTCGGGAGATTTGCCAAAGTGATACCAGTAATGGGATATAAGCATAGTCAAGGAGATCACACATTATTTATCAAGTACTCTGATTCAAGGAGAGTCACAGTTCTATTAGTATATGTTGATGATATAATTGCAATTCGAGATGATGAAAAAGAGAGAATTTCTAAAATAGTGTTTGGCTTGAGAATTTGAGATAAAAGAGCTAAGGAGATTGAAGTACTTCCTAAGAATTAAAGTAGCTCACTCATGGCATGGTATTTTCGTCTCACTTTAGAAATATGTGATGGATCTTCTTAAGAAAACTAGGAAGCTCGCATGTAAACCTGTAAATACCCTATAGATCCTAATCATAAACTTGGAGAAGCTAAATGAAGATGCTGTTGTAGATAGAGAGATGTACCAAAGATTAGTTAGAAGACTCATTTATCTCTCACATACTGACTTGATATAGCATATGTTGTGAGTGTGATAAGTCAATTATGCATCTATAGCTATGATGAAATTTTGGTTTCATTCTTCTGGGAATAAGTGTTGAAGTAAAGCCAAACTGCTACAGCCCATCATGCAATTGGAAAATGCCTAGCATTTCATCAATTAATTTTTTCCCAATATCTTATCAAAACAATGATTAGACCTAGTAGATGCTGCCTACATTACATGGACTTAGGTCCAAGACAAATGTGTCTAGATCTTTAATTCGCCCTTTACTCAAAGTTCAAACTAATAAAGTGAGCTAAAATATGTCCAAAAGTAGGAAATATGTATACGGGGTACAACTTGAAATCATCGATAATATGAATCCATTTGTAAAAGCGATGAAATCCATACAGAACTTATTGTTTGCATAGTAATCAATATTGCCTGCTACCCATCTCTGTGTGTATTTATGTGCATATGCAAATGCACTAGAAAAAAGATAAGCCTCTGGGCTGAAAAAAAAAAAAAAAAAACTCCTTGTGACAGGCAACGATTCAGACATGGAAGGAAATGAAGAAGCCATAGATGACTTCACTAGGAGATACTGGCAAAATAACCTTCAAACTTCAGGACAACAGGATATCCTTATCTAAAGATAGCTCTATGGCATCCACATTTGAACAAGTTAAGAGTTTTTTTTGTCATCTTAACAAATTTAAAAAGATCCTAGGTCCAAATTTACAAAACTAATAATGGGAAATAATATAATGCTAAAAAATCAGGAAAAAAGATTTATCTACAAGCTGTGTTCGAGAATTACCAAGAAACAACATAGAAGACAAAAGCTTTTGTCCAGTTAGAGTTCCAAGTGTGATGGGTTCTTTTACAGCAGATACACCCAGTTGCAAAATTAATAATTATTTGAGCTATCAGAAGTGCTGCTACTGCAGTTAATCCAAGACCAAGTGCAGGACTCCGGGGATAAGAACATTGTGTAGTGGAGACAAACTTAACTTCTGAAACCTATAAGAGAGAAAAAGGAATAGTTGGAAGTCACAAGAATTTCAAAAAAAACATTTCCAAGTAAACTTACCTAACACCCAGAACAATATTTGACAACATATTAAAATAAGTACTCGCATATCATTCATATTTTCGGTTTCACATGCTCCAATTTGTAACTGATTTGATAAAATTCATTACAGAATAATTTGGATAGAATAGATAAACCAAGAATCTTTTCACTATTTGTACTGCTCTTAAGAAAATAATATCTTTTCACTATTTATACTTCTCTTAAGAAAATAAATTCTGTACTCAAAAATTCAAATTGTTCAATCAGCACTTGTCTTTAGTAGCATAATGCTGTCAACACCATAGGTTTGGGCTTTTGACAATTTAACTCAGGCTTTCAAAAATGAAATAATAGTGATCCCCATAAAAATGGTGGAACAAGGTGATGGTGGAGACAAATAATTGATTTCGAGGAGCAAAAACAACAAAAGCCAACTAATCAAATGAACACTTGTTGCAATAACCTAACCAAAATCAACTTAAAAGCCAAGCAAAAAACCAAACTTACACCAGTATAACATGAAAGTGATTTTAACCAAACACTCGTTCTATATGCCAGGATAACTAAAAATGATGAAAAAGTAGAAACCTGCCAAAACATTGTTGAAAATTCTCCCGTTAATTAAGAAGTACAACGACTTCAAATTCTAAATCACACTAGTAACCGGACCAATGAAGCTCCAAGATTCCATATGCCACTCTGGTCTATAATAATTTCTCTCCTACATTACTTTTCCAATTTTCCAATAATAACTAACTCCTAAGTACACTGTATTTCTACTTTATAGTGGTTAAGATTGAGAATCTGGTTTTTCTATGTTCTGTTTTATACCAGAAGAACTCCAGTGGGAAAAAAGACTAACAAAAAAAAAATAAAAACGCTTAGCTAACCATACTGTTGTATAAGTTGGAATCAGTTAAACTCAAGGCCATGCTCAGTTTGGGATTCCAAATCAGCAAGATTATCTTCTTTCACATAGTTTCCACAAAAAATAGATAAAATAAAAAAGAACATACAAAGTTAAGGAACTTCCCATAAGAAATTACAAATAAATTCAAGCATAAAAAAAAATTACGCTCTTGTCTTCTACTAAACGGAAAACCATTGAACCCACTAAAACTATGCTTTCTTTAAGTTAAAATTTTCATTTTCCACCTATACTACATACAATAAGAAGAAAAACAAAAACCCAGAGAATTTTTTTGTCCTTTTGGACAGTTTTTTAATCACCCAAACAGAGGGTAGGTGTAAAGCAAAGCAAGAAATGATAGAAAAAAGAAAAAAAGAGAAAAATTTAGAAGAAACCCATTACAGAAGATCTAATTCAAATCCCACATGTATACTATTTACCTTAATCCTGGTAGCTTCAGCAGCAAAACCAGTAGCGGCTGATAATACCCCCAAAAAGGCCACAACACTGCATAAAACTAAAGCCTTTCTTTCCATCTCCTCTTCTCTTTCACTGTCTTTATTGTTGAAAACTGAGTGTCTCTTTTTTTGCCTTACAGAGAGACAAGTTACTTTAGGATTAAGGCAGTCTTTGTCTGAAGAAAAAAAGAAAAGAAATGTAAAGTTGGTACAGAAGCGTTGCTGCTGTGCATTGCGTGCGGCTTTGCGATGTTTTTATACGTAATTTTTTATATTATTCATCTTTTTTTTGTCTTATTTTTTAATATGAAATATATTTATTATGTTTTCTTCTTTCTATTATTATTTTTATTTTTTTATAGCTTATTAAAACAAGGGAAATTAAGAATCTTAAATTTAATCCATTTGATTGTAACTATTTTTTAAAAATAATATTTATTAAATTTAAAATTTAAATTCAACACTTAAAATTTTTTTATGATAAAGATGATAAATAATTCCTATAAAAAGGAAGATAAAACAATTAATTCAAAATTGAATTAATATGATTATGAACTCAACAATTAGATAAAAAAAATTTTCACCATTTAATCATTTCATCATATTTATTATTGGGTTAGGTATGGATTATTCAAATTATTTAGTTTTGGAAAAGAATTGAATCTAACTTTTAATTAAAAAAAACTACTATTAAACCAAATATTCAGTCGTTAATGACAATTTAAGAAAAATAATTAAGCTCTCATCTATTCATTATCGACATGACCAAAATTCAAATTGTTGTATTAATATAGTTCGATATGTTTTTGTAAGTTGCCCAATCTAAATAAAATCATATTTTCTTTCTCCATGAATTAAATTTTATTGAATATTTATTTTTAAATTTATTTTTATATTTTTATTAAAAAAATTACTAACATTTTGTATATCATTTAGCAATCACTAAACACTGTAGTCAAAGTAGAGAATCAGATTAATTTGAATGTATCATCGGCATTGGCTTGCAATTATCTAATCAAGATTCATGGTTTTAATTTCTCTCTAGTGGTTCAACCAACTTGAGTTTGAGTAGGTAGATAAGAAAATGACTGTATAATAGTAAATTTGCTTATTGTTCATATATAAATATATAAATATTAAAATAATGAGAATAAAAAAATCTTGTTATATATATTAAATGCGCAAATTTAAAAAAAAATAATAAAATTTGATTTTTTTAAATAAACATTTTTAATAAAATTTTATAATGATACCGTCCAGCATATAGTTTCGACAAAGTCAAACCTGAATTTGATTTGCTCTTCTGGTCATGTGAAAGAGGACGAAGCTTGAACATTGTAAACGTTTTTTTTTTTTTAATTTAGATGATTAATTTGGTGGAGCTGACTATTAAAACGAAGCCGAAAGTGATGCAGAACAATAATATTAATTTTCCATTGGTTTCTTCGGCAACAGCTGTTATATTAATTTTCCATTGGTTTCTTCAGCAACAGCTGCTACAGACACGACAAAACAAAGCTTTCAGAAATTCTATATGCATGTTCTAATAAGAATCGATCAATGGTTTTATTCTCACAGTTGTTTATGATGTTAGAAAGCTATAAAGGGGTAAACAAATCATGGAGCCAAAAGCAATGGGAAATAGTGTTGAAGGAAGATCAGACTCAAAAAGCAAATGCTGGGCAGTTCTCTGATTTGGATGAATGGGAAAGGTTTAACTTAGAATTTGACAAGGTCAAAAACATCACTATACGAATTCATGTGTTTCCTTTGCCTCAGTAAATCTAACAATTTTAAACACAACACGGTCACACGATAAAAAATATGTTTTATGTTACACATTGACATGAATTGTGGTAAGACATTTTTGGTGTTTTACACTTGTTAGATACAAAATAAACAGATACGGATACACATATTATCATGTATATGTCACAGGGTAAATCCTCTCCCATTCATGGATTAAGAAATTGAGACAGGACAGTTTTCCAGTAGCAAAAAGAATACCATGCAATAAAGAACTGTACAATGCACATGATTAAAACCCAGCATGTTAAATAGATAAATAGGTGGCATACTTCTGAAAATTGTTGGTCATACTTACTGCTAAACAAAAAAGACCCTTATATCAGTAGCATTCAGAATCTTTACATTTCTTATTGATGACATGAAGCAGAAAGTGACCTGTGGTGCCAGCAACGATCCAAATCTAAAAGAAAATGCAATAAAGGGTATTTCAGTCAAGCTTCACCTCTACCTCTCTCCTCGGTGGATCCAGCTGCAAATAAGTATATGGTTCTGTTGGTTCCTCCCTGCACAGCACCAAAGCATTAATGAGATTTTACAGAAGGAACAAATTTTCATAATGGACGCAGAGCGTTCCTACAAATGTAAATAAGAAATGCTTCATATAATCAAATAGAAGAGATTGCAATGTGTAACTGAGATAGGACCCAGTTTTCAACAGCTTGAAAGTAGAAGGCTTTGGAAAATAGAACAAGTTAGAGAACCTTCATTCAGTTAATTGCATCACTTGTATAACCATATCTATAAAATAAACTAACGTACAATTTAAATCAGCAATCAAAAACCTTTTTGAAATTCATTCTGATATATTCACATCAGCAAACTTACCCAGGTTTAGAGCGCATGCATTGCCAAAAGAGCTTAAAAGGTCCTGGAACTGTCTTAAATGGGTTTCCTTCAAAACAAGCCTGCACCAAACACAAGTTTAGTAAATTGAAACACGAATGTTGATCCACCAAGATAGCTAATCGTAGCTCAAAACATCAGCATGAGGAAAAGAATGTTATTACAAGATAATCATGGCACAATCCTTTTACTTCTATTTCACACCCTACATCCGATGTCAATAGTTTAACAAAAAAGATTTTGCCATATTAACTTGGCCCAATGACCCCAAAAACAACTTCAGCTAGAAGCTTTTCAAAAAGTTTCTCAATGTCCATAATAATAAGCTGTTCATTTCATGGAATATTTGCAGGAATTGAACCAATATAATTCTATAATATGATTGATGCCTATGAGACTAAATCATATCAACATTGATGCATTTTCTTCATGGCTCTAAACTATTAAACAAAATGGAATACAATATAGCCATAGAAAAAGTTCCTTCCTTAATCATATCAAAATTGATGACATTATCTTCAAGGCTCCAAACCATTAAAACAAAATGGAAAACAATATACCATCTTCAAAAGTTCCCTCCTTTCTCTTCAAAAGTGGATGATTGGAAAAAAAACCCAATTTCATTGAAATAGGTGGGCAAAAATCTTCCAATTTTTTTTCTCAATCATATCAGACTTCAGCTTCAGAAGTCAAAATTACTTCTATGAGATAATTTTCCCAACATAGCTGAAATGTGAAAGCTATGAAATTTAGATAGAAGATACTTAAATGAAAGAAGAAAAGAAAAAGAATTACTTGGATAACATCTTCAGCTCGATCGTTGCAACGATGAGCCTTGGGCTGTCGATGGTTTCCTTCCGAGATTCCCCATGGACTCTCTCTCCTAGGCACTGGCCTTGTCTCACTCATCTTACGCTCTCCTAGGCACTGACGCCTCTTCTCTCTGCAACACTTCACCTCTTACGCTCTCCGGTCAAAACCCTAAGAGGATGATGAACCCTTTTTAATTCTAGCCCACTTTTCACTTCGGCCTATTTATAAATACTTTTATATAAAAAAAATCATCAAAAAAAAAAATATATATATATATATATATATATTTACATGAAAGAGCACTAAAAATGTGTAATTTCGCATACATGAAAATTTTTCGGTTTTTAAATGAAATGTTTTGTTTTAATTAATTTGTCATTTATTATGAAATTATCAAAGATTTGATTCAACAACCATTGATACATGATTTTTTTTATTTTAAATAAAATTCAAATCTCTTATTTTTAAATTAAAAAAATTAGCTTTCATTTCATACAACACATGGGATTTTTTATTTGATAAAAATATTAATTAATTAATTAATTAATATTAGTTCTATTAACGTCAATTTTCATTTTATATTTCTTCTCAATTTTATAATTTTAATGCTTGAATTGTTTGCTAACAAATTAAGGTCATAAGTAACATCATTAACTTTATGGTATTATTATGTTTATAAATTATGCAAAATAGAACAATCCCATTTGAGTGCCTTTGTAGGATTCCTTTAATTTTTTCTAAAAATTTATTGTACTTTTATTATTAACTTTATTTCAAAAAAATTGTAAAAAATTTTAGTTGATTAAAAATTAAAAAAAAACTATATTAATACAAATTATAACATAATAAATTTTATATTTTACATATATTTTACACAAAAAAAAATATTGTTAAAGCCTAATTCAGAGTTTATCCGCTAAGCTAATATATTTTGAATTCATTTGTCGATTCCCAAACCATTAATATGAAATAAAACAAAATGAAAACTTACTAAGAAACATTAGGCTAATAATCCAGCTTCTCATTCACCAATGAAATGAAAGACATAATCATTCACCAAAATATCAAACGTGAAAGTGTATGGGGAAAGGGTAAGAGTGTGGCCAAAGGGCTGATTTTTGCCTGCAGAAGTCTTGCTAGTAAATAACAAGGCAAGAAAGCAAAACAGCCAAAATGAGAAATAGATTTTACAATGAGTATTAAAGAACATGGAAGTGATTTAAGACAAATTGAATTACAAAGGAGGATAATCCCTACCACCTATAACTCGTAAATGTCTCTCTCTACACTTGTGGTAACATCTATTTTATCTACATTACACCACTATCACCTTGAAGGTAGCTCTGTTGGTTGACCACTTATGGAAGGATTTGATGAACTAGAAGGGATGGATCCATTATCTTGAGAGGGTGTAGTACCCCATTTCAAGTCTACATCAGAGGGTTCCACCACATGTACTGCTCCATCGCTCATGCCGAGCGCAATCTGGTTGGGCTCAGATGGGTGAGCAGCTATGACCACAGCATATGCACTGTTGCTGCTGCAAAAAGATTTTGTGAATTAATGTGAAGTTCTATTGCGTTTAACCATTGTGCTTAGAAATATTTAAACTTCTTCAAGTAAACTAATCAAATGTCCGTGTTCTTACCTGACAGAGAATGAAGGTATGTAAGCAGAAGGTGCTATTCGACATCTGAGCCTCAAGTTATCCGAATCAAAAACTCCAATAGCACCATCACAAAAACCAGCATAAATCAGTGAGCCATCACAGGAATATATTACACTTGAAATGGGAGCACTGAGTGAATCTTTTGGAGACCACTGCAAGAATGAGAGTCAGCGGAACTGGTTATAAAATCATAACATTGGAACATTTTTAAAAAATTATTGAAAAAATATAAAAACAATCCAGCAAAAGAAAAAGAAACTAAAAACAAAAATATATACAATAATTTAATGGGCATAGTCAATGCTAAAATCTACTAACAACTGTGTTATGGTAAAACTCATTAAGGTTCTACAAAATCTTCATTTAACAAAAAACAATCCACTAGCAAATATAACCATTTGCTGTACAAATCAGTCATAATGATAGGAAGGATTATTCCAAAAAGCAATGCGTCATGCTGTCAGACAAGTTTAGGAGAGAAACAGGTCATGCTCTGGGTAATTTTAACTCAGGTTGCTGAGATTCTGATTTATTGCACTTAAGTATTATATAGCTCACCACCAAAAAAAAAACTATCCTCCACCATCAACAATTCAAAAACAGTTTTGATACTGAAAAAAGTTTTCATCAATAAAACTAAGGTCTAATTTTTTGCACGTAGCTGGCATTTAATAACTTTAGACTGGGATTTGAATTGAGAAAATATGATGTGAGGATCCTATATGTTAATCATACAACCCAAAACAAACCAACAGTAAGGAGGCCCAAACTAAATACAAGGAAGGCCACTACAAATCCTACTTAATTGCATGGGACGACACCACCTAAAACTGTCACAACTCACTAGTTCAAAAACTTCATCAGGTGTATCATATTGCAAACAGGCAACAATTTTACAATTACAGCATGATTTCAATTCAATAGTTACTAAGCTGATGCATTCAAAGTATTATATATTCATTTTTAAGACTGATAGACATAAGTCTCCAGAATTTATTCTAGGTCCTGCTTATTGACATTAGGCAATGTTTTCATGGATTTGACAACAGAATATCAGCTTCATTTGACTAGCCGTTGCAGTATTTGTTTGAAGATAGGTACCATGGCATTTTAACATGTGGCAGTAGCATTCTTATGGCTGGAGGGTATAACATGAAAAGAAAATATTATCTTAGGTCCAGAAGAAAGAATTTGGGATTTATGGCTCCCATTTTCACTTTTGGTAGAGAGGCCAGTCATAGTTTATATCCCTCTTGTAACCCCCATCTGGAAAAATCACTCTTCATTCTCTTTCCCTCTTAGTCAATGGTATACAAAGAAGTAACAAGAATCACATTATTGACCATTCTCTGTTGAGGAGGACAATTATATAATGATGATAATAACCTACTATCTCAAAAGCAAGCAAAAATCATATAGTGATGATAATGGGGGTCATACTATAAAAGGCTTATATAATATAGTCATTCTTGTTGCAGCACAAATCAAGTTGGAAATTTCAGGCCAGATAGTAATAACCGATGTTTGCGTTACCTTTAATCCCACATTAGTCGAGTTCTCATAAAGGAGTTCCCCCAAAAAAAAAAGAATTAATGAGAAACTACACTACAAGGAAGATGATATGAGGTTGACAACTTACAGAGCGCAAACATTCAAGCTTGCTGTCATAGATGGCTATTTGGCTTTCATGGATAACCAATAGATGAGTTTGATCATTGTGAAACTGGACTCTGGTTTCTCCTGCTAGTGGAGATTGACGACCAGCTGGTGCCTGTATGAACCTCGATTTCTTTTTCTCCCATCCATCTATGCTCCAAACACATAACTGCAAGTGAAATACAATCATTGCGAACAACAAATTATTTGGTTAAATTATGTATAACAAAACTATAAAATTGACAGTTGTCATTTGTTAACATGCCTTGCCCGCTTTTTCTTATACAGTTCATCATTTGCCAAATTGACTGCTTGTTTTAAGTTAAAATTGTTTCAATTCAGTAAAACAGTTAAAGACAATACAAGGACAATATAAAATTACCACTACATTATTTAAGTTGCTCATACAATATTCACTCAATCTATAACTAACCTGTGCATCGGCCCCTGACGACACCAGAGAATTTAAAGTTTGCGAAAAGGCAAGTCCTGTTACCCGATTCTGGTGGCCCTTAAGTTTGGTTTTGACCTGCCAAAAACAACAGCCTAAATATGCTTCTAGGGCCAAATGTCATGCCAAAAGCTTATCATTATCAAGAAGATGATAGAATGAGTTTTAGCTTCCCAAGGAAAATATTAGCCTTTTCAATCCGGAAAAAGGCCAATAAAGGGCTTTGCTTTGTCCACTTAATGATCAAATGATTCCAATCCCTTTCATCACAACCTTTTTATGATTTTCTTTCTTGTGTTCTTTGCGTAGGCCAAGAAGCCACCATGTTACATGTGCCATAAAGATTCTAACATTCCAAGTTAACTTGCAATCATGGTCATTAGGATGCATATAAAAATTTGATACACTATATAATGCCAAATGGTGATAAGCTAGACCAACTTGACATGAGCATAGAGCCATAAATGATTAAAAGTGTTTGAATTTAGTAATAAATTCTAAGAAAATTATTAATTTGATAAAAGCAAAAAATTAGCATTCTCCTACTTCAACAAAGTTGTCCTAACTCACCACATATGTAAACAAAATAATTTCTATTACTATAAAGCCAAAAAATATGCTTCACCTCATCAACTCTGACATTATAAATTTGAATCGAGGAATCTTCCATGCCAATAGCAATAATATTATTATCTTGGGGATGAAATGCCAAGAATGTGGCTGCAGGAGGAGGGGACATAAAGGTGGTCATCACCTGTGAAGAATTAACCCAAGTAAGTAATGTGGATAACTTCAATGAACACAAAGAAAATAGAAAACAGCTTAGGAAACAAATGCAAACTGCAATTGTAGACCTTGAATGTCATCATGTTGAACAATGACACCTTCCCTCCAGATGCGGACATAACATAAGAATCATTTTTAGATAATGCAATACATGCAGCAGACTCTTCTGCAGGTTTAGTGTCACTTATATCATTTGTCATAGGAGTACCACTAGGTGGCTGCCACAATTGTGGTGCAACATATGCAGTAGCCTGAAGGATTAGCAATGGAGAAACTATTAGAAAATAGAAGTTAATAATGAAGAGAGACAGATTTTCTCATTTACAGGCACAAAACAAACCTTGCCTAATGGACTCCTTTCACTACGTTGCCATTTCCAAAGCTTGTGAACAGCATTTGAAGCAAGGGCCAAAAGAGCAAGACCAGAGTTAGTATACAGCAGCCTCACAACCTGCAATAAAGATTGCTAACCCTCAATTATGGGCATAAAAAATCTAAAAATTGGAGCAAAAATATAGAACAATTAGGTCTTGGAATGCACCAAGTTTAGCATATGTCAAACTTATGCCTAGTGCACAAACAGATGAATGTACCCATCTTAGATAGCTACATTATGATTTGACTTAATTTCTACAAAACAATCCAAAACAATGCGTATATCAAATATATTCATACAAAATTTAAATATATATATGATACATGGGTCGCTATTATCCATGTGCATGTGTTTTTGTAAGAGTACAATGAATAGATGAGCCAGTACTCCATTATTCCTCCTATATAGGATTAATTAATTTCCCTTTAAATTATCAGCAAGACTGTCTTCAGTAGTTACTTATGCTCCCACAAAAGAAAGTTCCTATCTCTGGCCCTTTATGCATGAAATCAATGTAACAACAGGCTAAATATGCAAACCATTAAACACAAAATTTATTCTTAGAATTCAATATCTAGAAAAGGCAAAATAATTTAAAAAAAAGACTACATAAAGTACAATTTAAAATTCCAGTCATTGAATTACATTTTTTCTCAACTTTCAAAAATGGTATAAACTCGTATGCTTTCAAATGTACTTATATCATCTCTTTTACAGCTTCAAGTAATAGCAAACAACCATATATGTTCCCCTACTAAATACTTGTATCAATAATCTGATCCTTTGCTTGCATCAGAAGGGAATACTTCTATCTCAAGCAAGCAACATTGCTGGTTTTTGCAAAAGAAATGCTAATATATTAAATATCTAGCACAATAAAATAAATAATTAAAGCACTTTTTTGGACCAAAAAGAGTAAAAACCAATTATCACCACAATAAAATTAATTTTATCCAGCAACTTTATCCCAACCCAGGACACTGTATTTCAGGAACAGATAATATTCTCAAGATCTTTGGTAAGATTTGACTTTTTGGCTATTTCCTGCTTTGTATTATTGAACAAAGTTAGCATACTGAAAAAATTTCTTGTAGTGCATCAGGTAAAACAATATGCAGTTGTGTATCCTGTTGAATCTTCTATGAGATATTGCATTAGGTACAAAGTTCAAGTGCAGTGAACTATCTCATCTAAAGCCAGATTCAAAAGGCTAACCACCTGGAAAAAAGATTTCAAATTAAACCACCTAGGAAAGAAGACAATATTGCTATCACACAAGTATATTTGTTTCAAAAGCAACAATGCACTAAAACCCAACAATCAATCACATTCAAGTATCTACCTTTCCTGCTGTTATGGCATCAGGTAATCGCAGGACTTTCAGGTGAGATGGATCTATTATGTCAGGAATTCTCCAGCTCTTGATCCTGTCTGTATCCTCTGAAATCCGTGGTTTAACATCAACAAGCCTGCTGCTGTCCATGGTACCCTGCAATGGACATCCAAAAGAAGTTAGGACCCATGTAACACCATAATAGATAGCATGCAACTGAAACAGCTGAACTTACAAGACTGCTAATAGATACAGCAGGGGGGACTCTATCTGGGCGTTCAAGGGCTGGAGCAATGGCAGCATTTCCCACAGGACCAAGAGCATTAACAATCAATGGCTGCTGAAAACATTGTCCACAAGAAGTGAAATAAGAAACATATTAGAAATATAGAAAGAATATTCATAACAAAGGCATGCAGAGAAGGCTGTAAAATATTGGAGAAGATATAGAAAATGAACCATCCACAAACAGCTGTCTTATGTGACACTTACCAGTTCAGCAAAAATAAAGGTACCGATAACATATAGTTATTTGCACCTAAGCTATCAAGAATTTCTTCCTTTAAGCCGTAACAAGTAATGAAACTAGCAATGAGTAAATTTTGCTATACTCATGGATCTTGCATGGTCAAACAAAGGTAATATGTCACTCCTCATGAATGCATTATATGATGGCAGTAACATTAAAAAAAAAAAAATGCATCCTTAAACTAAGGATATATGGGTCCCATTATAAAGCATTGTAAGAATCATGAATGGAAGACCGTCTTCGTTTAAGGTCATTATAACAGAAAAGCGCTGATCACAAAAGATAATGCAACCTGAGCATTTACTCAACAAAATTGAATAATAACCAACCAACAGATTCACCAAAAGCACACAACAAACAGTTATTCAATAAACTACCTTAGAATTGATAGGTTCAGAAGGGCCTCGATTTTTATCAACAGCCTTACTCTCCAACATCCTTAACAAGCGTGAACCATCACTGTTAGACAAGATTTTGATACCATTATCACTAGTTGTAACGGCCAACAATGACCCTTCCTTGTTGAATCTTAGTCTGGGACTAGCCTGTAACATGATTAGAATGTATAATTGCAACATCTGTAACTTAACACTAGTGAAAAGAACATGTAGCAATACTAACAGGCAAACCACCATCCGCATCGATAGCTGTCAACATGGTAGTATTATCCATGTCCCAGAACTTAATCTCGAATTCATCACCAGCTGCTAAGAACCTGTTCTTGGTTGTGTCAAATTGGACAACACCTGAAGAACGCTTCCTAAAACCAGAATATCTTCTTTTAATAGCTCCTTCACTCTCATTCCACTCAACTAAATGGGATTCACCATCTTTACTGGTTCCACAAGAGAAGAGCCTGCAAGAATAAATCCAAGTTTTTGTTCATACATAGTACATATTCTTATACATATTCATATATGCTTGCACGTAAATTACATCAAAATTAACCTTATAATAAATCAGAAACCATCTCAAATATTGAGGATGAGATGAACATAGGAAAATAAGCTACGATGTTCTTACTTTAAAAGAGTTTTGATGCATCTAAATGCCAACATTTTAATGCATAAATAAGTAAATATGATTGTGGAAAATTACCAAAACTTCCAAATAAATTCAAACAAACTGACATCTCTCCAACAAATTAACATTTTTACCTGGTTCCGTCAGCACTGTATGCCATTGTGGTGCACCAAAATCCAGGGGCATCATAATCCACTCTAGATCCCATTCCATCATATAACCAAGCTTTAATCTTCCCATCAATGGCAGTGGAAAAGATAAACTATTCATATCGAAAGAGTTTGGAAATGTTATGAGAATAGAAATGAAAATTTTCATAAGGCCAAAATCCTGCAGCACAACCATGAAAGAACATCTAGAAGCAGAAAACAAAGAGTAGAAAGCTAATAACAATTTCTAAATGAGGTTTACCTGAATATTTTCTTTATAATGAGGACAAACAGAATATACAGGAGCCTCATGGCCTTCAAATGTATAATGTCTTCGTCCAGCTACAGTGTCCCATACCTGCCAAACAGGAAACTTCAATATGGATAAACCAATTCTTCTTTTCAATTTACAAAACCAATTCATGCCAAAAACTGATACCTTAATTGTCTTATCATCCCCACACGTAACAATACATAATTGCCTATTGGGATGAGCAAATGCTATGTCATTAACACCTCCAACATGGGCATCAATCTACAAAATATAATAGGTTGTTAAACACCTTCACTGTCATGATTTTCAAGAGATATTTGATATGTGTCATGATGGACTTACCTGAAAATGCTGTCTTAATTCTCCCATTGGATTGTACTGATATATTTGGACTATATGCTTTGAAAATGCAATACCTATAGAAACCAATATTTAATTCAAGAACAGATAAAAGCAACTTCAAGGAGGAGGAAGACAAGGAGATCAAACAGTATTTAAGCTTAGAGAAGAAAATATAGCCAAACATACCAAGCATAAATCCATCAGGTGCCCAAACACATCGATTTACAGATATCACAGCATCATTCAATGGTGGTGTCTGGTAGTAGAATAAAAGAAAGAGCAGTACTCAGCCAAAGAGATTTTTACAAGTTTGGGTAGTGTGCGGGTGGGCAATTAGGAGGATGCTTATTCTCAATTTCCAAGCAAATTGTTATCAATGTTTTACATGATGGCAAGGGATAATTCTATCAATTAGATATTAACCCATAGCCACAAATGAAAACTTTCTAAGGTTGATAAGGAAGATGAATCAGTAATACCTACAAGAAGATGATACAATACCTGCAAAGGCATGGAAACAGCAGAGAAATCCCAAACCTTGAATGGTTTATGGACCAACCTTTCCCGAGATCCTACTTCCCAAAGGCTAATATCACCAACATTTGTGCCAACTAAAAACAGAAAAGGAAAAACCACCAATAAATAAGCTATAAATATGTTCTAAAATTTTCCTAGAATTTTCTTACCAAAGTGATATTAAGAAACATATATATCAACCTAGGAGAATAGTTTGTTGTTGAGGATGAAAGTCCATGCTCATGACATTAGATCCTTGATTAAGGGCCCGCACCACGGTTTTCGGAAGGTCGTCTTGTGAGTAGACATTAGGAGTATGTGCTACACCAGAAAACGATACCTGCAGAAAGCATATGTAAGCATAGTCTCAATAATTGCATGAGGGAAAAAAAAAAAACCACCTAGACCCAACACATGGAGATGCAGAGTATGTCCCAGCCAAAGTTTGAGAACTAATCTCATGCAAAGAAAAATTACTGAGAAAACCTAAGATAAAAAGGAATTGCCAAATTTATACACACCTCATCAGATTGGCCAGCGCGAATGCGCTTCATCAAATGCTCTGAATCAGCCGACTGATAATCCATCCCTGGCATACCTGATGGTGTCCTTGGATGCTTGAGGAAAGCAGCTGAACCATCAGGGCAAAAAATATTCAAATAAAGCAAGTTCACTGAAACACTATCCCAACAGAGATAACAAATGCCAGCTACTTGTACGTACCGGCATTTGAAGGCTGGACAAGACCAGGGGGGCCTGCTGCCACAGTTGCTGCATGAGGTAAGGAAGGATTACCACTTGACATCCACCCCGCTATAGCACCAGAAGAAGGGGAAACAACAGGCTGAAATGGCTGCACATCATAGCCATCCAAGAATTGTGAGAGTGCTACATATATTTTGTATCAGATAAATTAATTCAAAATACTTACACCATGGGCACCAATAGCTGGGAATGTCCCGGCCTTGGCAATTGGTCCAACAAGGGCACTGTTCATAGGAGGAGGAGGGCGAGCACCATTGGTAGTGGGAGAACAAGAGTGATCCGTAAAGAGAGTTTTAATGTCAGGGTTTGGACGAGGATTCTTGCAAAGCTGATGCTGCCAATTTAGACTGAAATTTTCAACAAAGAAAACGAGTTAACAGAAATACACACACACGTGAGAAATTAAGGTCACCTACCAATCTATACTTGATTATGTCAATTTCCTTATATACACCTTATATAAGTATTGAGTTATTAACAGAGACATCAGCAAACCCAGACTTTGTTTTTACAAGGCACGAAAGAAGAAAAGATCAAACCAAACAATAAAGACCAAAAATTAGTAAAATAATCATAGAATAGTAATGAATAACCTCTGGTTTATTAAAGTCCTTAGTCGTGAACTTTTAAAGGCTGGGAATGTAAGCTTATCACGAAATAAAGGATTTGCTTCAATCAGCTTCTTAAGTTCTACAAGCATGATATTTCGAGCAGATTTTGTGTCTCCATATTTTGAAAGCTGCTCATTTTGCCTGATGAAAAAATACAAACAGCAAAATTTAACATAATTTAATCAAGTAGCTGTCAAAAGAAAAAAGAAGAAAAAATAAAAAGAGTAAACACCTAAAGTTATCAAGTGTGAGCAACTGGGCAATCTCCTTGAAAAGTTCTTCATTAAAGGATGAAAAAACCTTCAGATCCTTTACCAGAATTTCAACAGCCTTTGCTCGATCCTGCCTGATAGAAGATAACAGAGAAATAAATATAAAAGGCATGCATAGTTTAATTCAACATTAAGAAAGAACCATGACAGAAAACCACGTAATGAAAGCCAATTCTGCCTCAAGCCGAAACATCTTCATGAGTTCAAGAAAAGCTGCCTCCATTATTCTAGAAAGTGTTCCTTTGACATCATTCACTTAGGATTTAAGTTAAAAAATGGCAAGAAGCACAAAGCTTGAAAATTCTAAACATTGAAAAGCATGAGACTAACAGCAGTACATTAAGTGCTCACCTGTCAAGAGCTTCCAAATACTTCTGCTTCCTAATTTCAAAGAAAATCTTCATCGAGTAACGGTTATCCTCAACTTTAGTGAACCCACATAGATAACGTTCAACTTCATCCCATTCACCAGCCTGGACTTGGTCCTCAAAATGTTTCATATTGAAGAAAAAACCAGACTCTTGTTCTAACCTAAAATTTGAGCAAGCCATCAGAAAGTCACATGCAAAAGCAGACATTAAAAAGCTATACAAGACACATAAAAAAGCAGGTATTAGAAATCTATTCAATGTAAGTGAAAGCCTTTCAAAGTGACTAAGAAAAAATAGAAAGCAGCAAAGATACCAATTTGCTAGTTTAAAGGACTGAAAGATTACTTTTCTTGCTTTCCAGAAGTAAAATTAATATAATTTCAGCTACGGGAAGTACTAAACATAGCACATAGCTAGAATGCTAACCAAATGCCCATGATTGCTCATCATTTGCAACCCAAAATTACCAGGTCTTATTAGATAGCAGAACATAACAGAAATAAGTTTTTCCCTCTTTCAGCCATAGGCTTAAAACTCTTGTACTAACATCCTTCAAAGCTAACTCAACAACCAAAAAAACGTCAATATGAACCAGTACAGCAAAATGAGGTAAATTAACTTACTTATGAACGGTTTCCTTGAACTTTTCCTCATCCAGGAACTGCAAGATCAAAAACACCAGCTCCCTACTTAAGGAAGACATCATCCCGGGAACTCCTAGTCGATCCAGCTCAAAGATCGAATGTTAAACCAAGAAATTAACTTTTCCACTACAACTAACCCAAAATTCTTCCTCTAAAAAAACCTTACCACGCCAGCAAAATCCTACAATTCATATAAACCATAAGAAATACCCAGAAAATGCTTCTCCTTGAATTTCCTTTTGCAGTTACATTAACCTTCAAAATCACTCATTAAACACTCTGTTTTCACTTTGCCAACTAACAACCTTGAAACCATTTAAAGCTTCAAATCAGTATACGAAAGGCCCTTCTGGCAAAAATAACGAAAACCCAAATTCTTAAAAACCATAATAAACAAAAATAAATAAAAATAAAAAACTCTTTTTCAAGCAAACCCTAATTTCTTTTCACCGATCCAACAAACTGAAGCAACAAAATGAGAGTTAACTAAAGATTGATTTCACTTACAACAAAAAGTCTGAAACTTTAATCTTACTTGTGAATCCTCAGAGACAAAGAAAGGAAAAAAAAAACTTTTGGCCTTTACTGTATCAACATCAAAGAGCAGCAGAGCAAAAAACCTAATAACATTTCTAGGGTTAGGATTTTTTTCTTTGTTTTTCTTCTTCAACAACCGTAGCTTTCGTCTGAGAAAAAAAGAAAAAAACCCAACTTTGATTCTCTCTCTCCTTAGGTATCTTTATACCTTTTTTGCAAGATTAGGACAAAGGTTTCATTGATGTTTTGTGTTTGTTGGACATTTTCTTTTTATATTTTTTGTTTCGGTCTCTCACTCACTTAAATACAAAAAGCTTCTCTCTCTCTCCATCGAGAAGTTTGAGCTATCATTTTTTTTTTAATTTATGATTTTAAATATAATATAATAATATGAAAAAAAATTATATATACATAAATTATATTTTATATTTTAATTATATCGATATAATTAAAAAATAAAATTATTTATATAATATTTATATTAAATAATAATAACACATTTAAAATAAGTATTGTTTGTAACATAATTTTTTTAAATTATCTTAATTTATTTAAAAAATAAATTAATAATTATATTTATAGTATCATTTTAATTTTTAATTATATTATAAATATTTAATTTTTAAATAATATTTTATTTAATTATTCATTAAATGAATTTTTTTAAATAAATAAATAATTATATCTAATTGTATTATTTATATATAAATATGTTAATTGATCGTATGTATTATTTAAATAGAAGTTAATTTTAAATATATTAATTGTATTATATCATATATAATATTTATAATAAATATATCATATTTATATTTAAATTATATATTATTTAAATGTTAATATCATACTTGTAATAAAATTATTCGTTTGATATTTAAAATTATATTTAATATAAAATATGATATAAGAATATGAATTATTAAATTTAATATTTTATATATAAATTAAAAAAAAAATCTCTCACTGCCTGTTTTTCACCACTCCGGGCCGCATGATAGTGGGATGCTCTTTCAAATTCAAATAAAGCATCGTACAATCTATAGTTCGAAAACTGAAAAGAATATGGTGTGGCTACGCCTTTACTAAACCCTCAAATAACTCTCTTTTTTTTTATTTCTACTTTTTCAACTTTTTTTTTATTGAAAGTTCGAAGTTCCATTCTTTCCCAATTCCAACTTTATAATATTTAATAAATATTGTTTTATTTTATTATTTTACTTGAAATTATAAAATTTTAATAATACTAACAGGAGTTTTTAGGTAAAAGACAAAATGGCATTAAATATGTGAGCTATTCAAGAAAATTTTATTTAATAATGGGAGTGGAAAATTTTTTTTGTACCAAGCTAAATATTTGTGAGACTTAGAACAATTTTTTTTTTAGTTGCAGAAGAAAAATTATTAATAAATTATAAAAATTGTTTTAAGAAAAAAATTGAATTACAAATTTTAAAAAATAATGGTATCAAAATGTAGCTAAAAGTTAGAAAATTATATTTAATTTTCTAACTTTATATTATAAAAATGAAGATTTTCAAATTTAGTTATTTTTTTATTTTTAATTTTACATTTAAAAATATAAATTTATTTTTCGAAAATGTAAATTCTGATGACCCATGAGATGATAGTGGAAACTAGAAAGAGACCCTCGTAGGCAAAAGAGCCTGTTTAGGTCGGCAGTCAGTTCAGTTTCAGTACCGTCTGATCGAAATCCCTTTTTTTTTCCAATTTTACCCTCCTTTCACGTGAAAAATATATTCAACCCATATTTTATTTTTTTTCAAAAAAAAAGAATATATTTAAATCAAAAGTTTGTATGCTGCACCAGTAACATTGAAAGCCATGTAAGCAGCCGCTCATCACGATAAACAGTAAAAAATCTTAATATTTAATATTTTTAACTTTTTTTGGGCTACAGGCGACTGTGTAAAAAAAAATCTTAAACAAGATGGAGGTAAATAATCGTTACAACAACTGTTATTTTTAATTTCTTTATTTACCGAAATATATTTACAGTTGATGGACATTTACATCTAATCCAATATTGTAAGGGGCAAAAGATAGTACAAATGTTGAAAAAGCGAAAATTCCACAAGGACATTAATGTCATGCCAGAAAAATTTTTTATTCTCATTTTGCCACGTCATTTTACCTCGTACTACTTTGCTTTAGCACGTTTTCCAACAAATATATTATAATATAAAACAGGAAATAAAAAATATAAATTCTAATTTCGTTTTTTATAAAAATTAGATTACTAAGATTAAATATTTTGCTGATAATAATAATAATAAAGTAGCCATCAAGCTGTCAATCAGTCATTATAGCAGTGTAATGCTCCAGTAGCTCATTGCCGTGCAAGTAAGTGGTTGATAAGCATATTCACCTATCTTTTTTTTTTTAGACTTATTAAAAAAATTAAAAATTAATTTGAAATTATAATATTTAATTTAATTTAAATTAATTATTTTATTCAAATTAAATTTAAATATTAAAAATGTATATTAAATTTGAATTAAATTTTAAATCGAAATTAAAAATAATTGAATAAATTAAATTGTTTTTATTAATTTTTTCATAAATTTAAATTTTTTATAAAATATAAATAAATAATTATTTTATATTTAAGTTTACTTAAATATATTAAAATTTATATTAAAAAATATTTTAAAAATTATTGAATTAAACCAAATTAGAGTAATAAAATTATATTCATTCGACAAAATCAAATTGTATAAAAATTGGATTCAATTTAAATAAAATTTTAATAATTTATAATTTTATATATCATTCAAAAAAATTAAATCAAATTTAATTTAAATCTATGTCACCTTTACCATCACCTTCTAATTTTCCTAAACATATTTTTTAAAAACTTTTATACTTTTTATCATACCTTAATATTGTTTATTTTAAAAAAATACTACTTCGTCCTAAAATTTAATTTGGATGCAACCAAATCTAAGGGGTAAAAATTATGCCATTCATCTATTGAACCTTTTTGGTTCAATTATTAACCGTCTTTTTTTTTTCTTTATAAATTATATTGTAACTCCTCGCTATGTCGACGAATCTTTAAAAAAAATAAAAATTTTATTGAATTTAGCTTTTTTTTCAAAATTTTTATTGATCCTTCTCTCTTTTGTCCTTTTAAATTTTTTTTACTCTTTCTCATTTTTCTTCTCTCTTGTTTCTTTTACATGATTTTTTTCTTTTTTTGGTTTTATCTTTTTTTTCTCTTACTATTTTTCAACCTAAATAAATCTTTTTCTTTTTCACTATATGGTTTTTCTCACGTTATTTTTTTATTTATTTTTTATTTAAATTTTTAAACCATTTTTTTATTTTAATGGCAAATGATATTTTTGGCCCAAACTTTAAATAAAGAAAAAAAAAACAACCAATTAACAAACATATGAATAAAAATAACAAATAATAAATAAAAATATTGTAAAAGTATTAAAATTACTATATATAGTATTTCATATATTATAATTAGTTTTTGGTTAATACTATATTTTTTAGTATTGTATTTTTATTAATAATTTGATAAGCGTATGGTTTTCAATTTATTATAGCTTATAAATTTTTTTGTAAAAATATAAAACAAAATAAAAAAAATAATTTAATTTTTTATTATGTCTTTTTTATTTATATTTATCATATTACATTTTTTAATTTTATTTTATATAGTAATTTAATATGTAATTAAGTTTTATGAAATTAATTTAATAATTAATTTAATAGGAGTATTATAATAATTTTTATAAAATACCACATATCAAATTTTCATAAAGCAATGGTAAAAATATTTTAGTAATTTAATATATAGTTAATTTTATATTATGTTAAAATTTAATATATAATATAATATAGCTATTATAGTAAATTTTAAACAAAATACTACATGTCAAATATCTATGAAGCAATGACAAAAGTATTTTAATAATTTAATATGTAATTAATTTTATATTATATTATAATTTAATACATAATTTGTAAAAATATTATAATAATTTTCAAACAAAAAACCAAATGTTAATTGATTAGACCCATGATGACTTGGTAAAGGTTGATATAGACCATATTGTTGATGGGCTAAAACGAGGCCTCATTATGTCAACTATTGGCTCAATGACTCCATCTAGGGTTAAGAAGCTACAAACGACTTTTGGTTTATTGGTTTATTGTATAGACCTATTCAAGGAAAACAAGCTTGCGATGTTCATTTTGCTCACTTGTGAAAGTGTTTTGGCATAGTCTTCCGTTTCATGACCTAGTGGTTATAGAAGCCTAGAAAAAGACACAAAAACTTTGTTTGAATCAAATCTCTTTTCTCCCCCTTGTGATAGGGTTTTGTTATCCTTTGAAACCAAAAAAAGAAAGTGATTTGGCATAATTAAACTTTTATGAATTTTATTATGTTAAAAGGATCTTTTGTGTGTAATGAGATTTATTTATGGGTTTTGCATAATAATGAGTTTCACACATGGGTTTTTGCACGAGGAAGATTGAAAATTTGAAAATTTGTGGCCAGAAGAATAAAGGTTTGAAGATTTGTGGCCAAGCTTAGAATATTATTAGGTTTACTACTTGTAATTATTTTTATTTTAATTTTAGTATGTTATCTTTTATATTTTAATTTTAGAAATTTTATCTTTACATAAATCTAATAAAATATCTTATTTATTATGAGTATATTAGATTTTTCTTTTTTTTTTCAGATTTTTCTCTTTCCTTAATTAAAACTATATCTTAAATTTTATGATTATTATAAAAAGCATTATAAATACGCATTCTTAATGTAATAGCCACAAAACATTTTTATTAAAAACAATAATCAAAATTGCATTATTCTTCATTTCTTATCGAAACAATACATTTGTTTTGTGACGAGTAACTTTGATTCTTATCACTTTTCTTTTTTTATCTTCTCAGAATGTGATGAATCAACTAATTATTTGATTGATTGTGTTGTGTAACTTACCAATTAATTAAGCTTACAATTTATCTTATTTTTTTATTTCTTATTTAAACTGACCTTTAAATAAATTACAACTTAATTTTCGAATTTAGGGTGCATCATTAATTTTTTTATGAAACAGTCGCAAGGATAATTTCATAATTATAATAAGAGTATTATAGTAAATTTAGTTCCGTAACAACTCCTTATCAAGCAAATTATAATAAATTTTTTGACAATTTCTTTTAACATATTATATAGATTATATTATAGAGCTAAAAATGGTCTAACAGTTTACTTTTTTATTTTAATATTTTTAAAAAGGTATGAAATTATTTTGTTAATTTAATAAAATTAAAAATATTATTTGATATAT